TCGAGTATTCACATGATACGGTACCAATTTGCTACGCCGGAAGTGCCTCTGTCACGTGGCGGCTTCAATACTCAACACAACTACGAAAGCCGGCCTCCTTCTTGACATCCGGGAGTGAAAAGTTAGGACTACCGAATCCGGCGGTTGATTTACAAGTAAAACAGGGAGGTGAAACGCTTCAGAGGTTGTAAGCACCTAAGCTCGATGAGTGCCTCCGGGAGGGGATAGCACCATGCATCTTCATCTTCATCTTCCATCGCCGCTTCTCCTTTCGGGTCGCGGTGGCAGACGCGTCAGACAGTGTTTCCAACGTTCCCGATCCTGTGCCAGAGTCTGAGCTTCGGCAAAAGACAAATGCTGTCTGGAACAGACTCCTTCCATATGTTTGCACCAGGCTAATCTTGGTTGTCCCCTGGGCCTTTTGCCGGTCGGATTTGTAAGGAACAATTGCTTAGCCTTCCTTTTTGGAGGCATTCGCAACACATGCCCAAGCCATCGCTGCTGTGACTTCTTAATCTGGAGAAGCAAAGGCTGTATTCCAAGGCTTAGCACCATGCAATCCAAGTTAAATATGAGTCGGGCCACAGTCTCGATTGCTTTCGGAGATCTGTCCGATATTTGGGCTAAGAAAGGATCGTGTGTCCTTCCACAAAAATCCTCCTTTTCCTTGACTCTGTCAGATTTGGTGCAGTTGCATGGCAGTGTTTTCGAACTAAGCAAAGGCAATGACGGTTGAACAACGTGCATCAGAGTTGACTTTAAACAACGCATAACGTGGTTTAAATGACAAGACCATTCGTGGAATGTCTCCATTGTCTTCCGAGCACAGGTGGTTTCAGAACATGTGGAGATTAGGAAAGGAAGATCGGCTCCGATGGGCAAACTGACTGAGTATAAGCCATTTACTCCTGTCGAAACACGGCAGATGTCGACCAGGAAGTAGCACGGAGAGGAATTGCTTTTTTTACGATGCCTTATGGCGAAAGTGTTTTAAAGTTGCTGCGAATTCAGTGGTTTTCATCATCTGGAGACCTTCTGCTCATGCCAATGGATCAAGGTGATGAAGTCAACAAACTCAATAACAAATACAATTGAAATACATTGTTTAATTTTTAATGGAAGTAATTGCCCCATTCGTGACCAAAAGAATAATAATGAGGGATACGTCGCGCTGCTCGTTATATAGATGAATTCAGCGCTTTTGTTGTACTTAGGATTGGAATTAATAGAACTGAAATGGTCACGTGCTCCGTGATTTGAAACTTTGATAATGAATAAATGTCGCGTTGTCCAAAACGTCGGCCTGCTCTTAAGTTTCTCGTCCTGTTTCTTAAGTCCAACAAGAACTCGCTGGTAGACGGAGCACAAGGCATATGTTCCAAGACAGCTACCGCATAATAACTTTCTAATTCTGTTGGGAATCATAATGCTCCAATTTCCGGTGCCGGATTTATGCAGCGTCAAACGTGCCAGTTCTTTGTTTCTAATCAAGTAAGAGGTTCGTTTAAGCAGGCAGCGGCTGCGTGATATATGAGTATCTGCAGTGCATTGGATATTGGACCTGAATCTCTCAGCCGATCTAAATAAGGGTGCGTTTCAGCATCAACCAAGTCCGCCATAGTCCGTAGGCAGATACGTGGCAGATACATGACATAACCGCGATGTTTCATGGTTGCTACCGCATGGTGGCTTTGTAACCGAAAAATTCTGAGTAATATTCTTTCTCTCCATAAATCTAGCTTCAGGTTACTTGTCGCAAAGATGAAGCAACGATCACAATAAGGGATTACTGTAATAAAGGAAGTATTACAGAAGGTGTTTGCTGAAACGGTCATTTAATCAGATAACGATAATCACAGGTTAGACTTCTCTGCTGCTGTAACGAATATCCATCTAGCAAAAGGACATGCCGGTGAGAACGCCGAACGAAATCCTCGTCGAATCATTTAACCACACAACGATATTTGTATTGTACAAGAGGGTTACATCCTGCACAAAATGAAGCTTAACTACAAAGAGCACTACTTTATCCTCATCTTTGAGAGGTGTCCTCAATGGATATATTGATTAAAGTGAGGAAGTGGATGTTGTTAGACAAAGTGGTTCATCCTGTCCCATTGGCTGCTCATCTACCGATCGATGTCGCCTACCAGATCATTATGCAAATTGTTTGAGAAAGATATTATTCTTATTATTCATTCCACGACGCAATAACTGTTGCCATATTCTGAAATGCTGAGAATGGAACGAACAGAACAAATCACAGGCGTCTGCCTAGCCTTACGGCTCAGAGAATGATTATGACAATCTCTCACCGACTTTAGCCGGCGCAATTGGTTGTTCAGCCACTCTAGCGAGTACCAGGTCAACAGCGAGTACATTCAGTCGCCGGAACTGCTGTTGCTTCGTTTTCCACTACTTCATTGACAAACTTTGGAAATGCTCAGAAGATCAGACGTGGTAGAAGAGGCGGATGACAAACTACTGTAAAAGGAACCTCCAACAATTGTAACTCCATCGATGAGCTCAAGGTACTCTGTCCCATGCCATAAAAATTCGCCTCATTCTCCTAGAAGAGACTTGGCTACATCCCACGGATGAGGAGAAAATCCTCGGTTTGGAAGACTTCATTCGTTACCTCTTTAATCGTTCCGAACATGTCAATTCTCGGGGCGATCGTACAATAACGTGGATCAACTTGGCCCGATGTGCAAAGTTGTGCGAAAACCATCTGCAGTGTATCGCTGTGGAATGCATGCTGGGGAACCTACCGGGTATTTCAGCGTTCTCGTTGGTAATCTGTACACAACTCCAACTGGAAGTGTCATGTTAATGATCATTTTTTGGAAGAGCTTAGTGAAAGCTCCATGAAATTGCTCTAGTGGTGTCAGTATGGTTCAGATCTGGAATGCTGTCTTTCTTCGTCCCCATTCAAGAAATGAGGAATTGGAGGGACGACAATGACCTAACTCTTAATCCAAAAAATCTGTGGACTCTCAGTTTCAAATTGAAGGAACTTGCCTTACCAACTGTACAGATCCGAAACGACCTGTTCGAGAGAAAAATTGAGCGGTAAAATACCTGAGGTTGATTTTGGATGAGATTCTTAGCTAGGAACAGCAAATGAGTGCCGAGTTTGACAAAGTTCGGCTATCCGCCTCGGTATTGCAGAGAGTCAGGAGGTTGTGCGTCAGTTCAGAAGTGCTGAAAGACTTTACCAAATCCTGTGTTCTGCAACTCTTCCTTTTCGCTGCATCGGTGCACTTCTGCAGTCTCCAGGGAAACAACTGGTTCGCATCCGGAGCCTTTTGAATCTACCTAGCCGACTCTATCACTGTGGCGCCGAAAGTTTGGGCCATTCTGGCCAGGTGTTTGACAAAGGCAAAAGTTACTCTGAACACTTTCACTCTAACCAACTCACCTCACACTCACTTTGTTAAGGTCTTTTTCGAAGTGGCCAAACACAAGATCCTTGCGTGGATTAAGAGTTTGACAGAGAAACTGTCATTTTGGACTGTTGACTCGGTGCAGCCTGATATTAGTCCATTTTCATTAATGGTATTGGTATTTAATAATTGTTCATTGTTATATCCAGGGTTCTGATAACCTACCTGTGTCATAAGGGTTGTCTATAATCTTATTTTAACGTACCCATCACTGCTGAGTGCTAAAATTGACTGAAATCGCTTGGCAGGACAAAACATGCAACAGGATGCTCTGTTTAACGGTGCAGATTTGTCATTAGCTCTCCAGTGGTCAGTCAAAGAGGCTGAAAGTGCTGCGTAGACTTTTTAAAAACAGATCCGTCAGTGCCACCCCGAAGAATAACTTTGGCGTAAGGATTTAGCTTGTCGTCTATATATAAAAAAGATTCTACCTCCAGAAAAATGAATGACTCAATTTTTTCCTTACGTAATCGATCCTGTAAATGGAAGGCATCGATTTCTGGCCAAGGCTGATCAAACATCCGGAGGATCGTACAAGAATGATGGAGCTCCAAGATCCAACAGCTATTAGAAAAATCTCTTACCACTGGACTGGTGGTTAGCGTCTCCAAGACGAGATGGATGCAGAACCAGCAGTGTGCCAATTTTTACCCTAATGGGTAATTCACCAACTATGTATAACTCGGCCTTTCAGGTAAATCGCATGACTCATAAGGTATGGAAATCAACAGAAGAAATAAGCGTTAAACATGGGTCAGCCGGAGCTGTCCTCACCGGCAAAGAAAGAACTGTTGGTTTCAACCATCCTGCATTCCATGATTTATGGTGCTGAATGTTTGTTTGTCACCTAAGGTCGATGAGAACAAACGGATGATCGGGCAAACAACGACTCAACGAAGAACGTGCACGGTCTTCCTCCGGGTTCACGTCCGAGTCTCGAAAATTCGATAGCGTGGTTTCTGCCTTTGCGACAACAGGAGATGGTGAGATGTCCCGACGATTCTCCTGACAAAACACTACCGTAAGACATGAAGAATTCTCAACTGGATTCTGCGTCGAGTCGATCGTCCAAGAACACGTCGTTACATGATCTGATGGTGAAATTACTTAGTTAGCGATGAGGATATAAAGAATACTGGATTAGTCTCGACTTCCGTTCATGACAGCCTGAGGATACTTGATACATTGAGCAAGGAAGCAAAGAGATCCACATCATCTCAATGCTCCCATATTGGAAAGGTTGGGCGCAACGACGTTGGTCTAATCTGTGCACTCTTGTTGTTATCATCCTGAACATCTGTTGACATTTATAATAATTTTATTTGTTACCATTATCGGCAATATTTTAAACAACTGTTCAATAGTGCAGTTTTAAAATGAAATTATGATCCAGGTTTAAAACGAATATTGTATATGTTGATTTTCAGCCAAATTTAAACAGTGGCAGTTAACGTGCAATCAGTTATCACGTCGTTTGATTACTTACTGCGTTGAGTAGAGGTGGATCAGGTTTGTATAAGTTAGTGTGCAGTCAGCATTGTGACAAAAGAAAAAATGTCAAAGCAGAAGGTCGAACCGGATGACATGATCACCGCAGTTTCGTACCGGACGGAGTTCAGTGTTATCGACATGGATGCCTTGAAAAAGGTGCCACTACCGCCTAGTAAAACCGGTCCCGTCTCTGCTGAGGAGGAAACGGAGGAAGTCGCGAGTTTACAAAAAGCATCCAAGATTGTCATGGAGCAGGTGCGACAATTATTCTAGTGTTATTACTTACTAAATAACTTAATAATAATGATCGTACAGCCCATCGCAATGCCGTCATGAGTGAACAGTGGAAAAAAAGGCATGAGGAACGGCATGAGGAATGATGTGCAATGGACTGTATTATAATTTGTTAATACGATTAACGCAGGAACCTTCGTGAACTGGGAATTTGTCACAGAGTCAACGAGTCTCTGGGGTAGTCTCGCTGAAAATCGATAAATAGTCACTTTTGTCTAGTTTTAGACTTATTTCACTTTGACCTGAAAAAAGAGAGCCTGTAGGAATTCACACGAAAAGATCGGGTAAACGCAAAGTCACCAACACCACCCTATCCTGCTAGAGTTTAAAAATCTCCAATTCATTAGCATCCTTAGAAGTTATCTACGAACGAATGAATCGAATAAATTTTATGCACGAAAATGTGGAATGATGGTGTTCTCTACAGCTTCATGACAGGGCCATTTCTCGCACCCTTCCTTCATGCAGTCAATAACGGGGAGCTGGTTTCAATTTCCACGTCATCAGCCATGGGTAGAGCCTGTGTGGCAAGCACAGTGTGTAGTCGTCTGTTTCCTTCACAGAGAATGGCACACATCAACCTCATAAGGAAGAAGGCGCCAGACCAGATCAAAAGTCAAACCCGGAATTTCTTGGTTCTGACCTCGATGCTGTACCGACCGAACAATTGCGGTTTGAGCAAAATGTGGTAAATTCTATATTCAGGCGAATTCCCGGTTAAAAAAAGATCCTTCGTTGCGGAAATCGATCCCGACACCTTCAGAGTTGAAAGTCGACCTCTTAAGCACTCACCCCCATATATGGAGTTGTGTACACAGAGAAAGAGAGACAGAGGTAAGGCAGGCGAAAACAGAGAGACAGAAAGAGGGAGAGAAGCGGACGAACTGGCAGAGAGAGAGGGAGAGAGAGGGAGAGAGAGGGGGAAAGAGGGGGAGAGAGAGGCACAGACAAATATACAGATGGACGCAGAAAGAGAAGAGAAATTGGAAGATACACACAGATTATCAAGAAACTAAACGACAGACAGACTGACCGACCGACTGAAAAATTGACAGGGAAGCAGAGGCAGAGAGAGACAGCGAGAAAAAAGATGTGAAAAGATAGAGACAGAAAGAGTTAGGTGCACAAAGATCGAACGAGCTACAAAAATTCCGAAGGAGAAACAGGGAAAAGCCAGAAATATATATATTAACAGACAGAGGCATATGTGCAGACAGTTACAGAGAGAAACAAACAGGGAAGAGGAAGCAGAGATACCGACACAGAGTGAAAGAGGAAACACAGACAAACGGAGAGACAGAAACAACAGCACGAAGAAATCGACTGAGAAAGCGGTAGAAACATCCGCACGAAAAGAAGAGATGAAGGAAGGCAGACTAGCAGAGAGGCTGAGACCTGAAACTGAGAAGCAGCTAAAGCAAATCCCATTTTTAATCAAAATTTGAATTTTGGACGTGTGTTTTAAATGATCGAGGTAAACGGCCCTCACGGAAAAGAAGAAAATAACCATTTATTTAAACTAAATAGTTGCTAAAATATAGCTTCGAGCAAATTTTAATAACAACGTACAGAAGAAATCAATCTTCTGTGAATCCTCCTCGGTTCAACAAAATTTAGTCCCACCGTTTTTAAACACGGTGCTGTTTGCGTGACACCGATACTTCTGTCATTAAAATTCGACTGGTCCCTCAGAGTCAAGATATTTTATATCATTAAGAAAACATCCATAAATTTAAAATTGCACTGGTAGACAATCTGTGATCAAACACTTGTCTCGTTACAGCACGATACTCAACAACAATGACTAATTGACTGATTGATTGATTGACTGATTGATTGATTAACAAAAGACGAAACGCTTTCAGACTTCAAAGGCTGCCGGCAGCGGCCGCAAGATATTCATTATCCGAGACGGGGAGAGACTCGACCAGGTGTTCCCCGGATGGGAACGGCGCGCGTTCACGACGTTCTGGGAATTCAAACCGTACGACCTGAATATACCGATGAAATTGCTGACACGGACCAACGGTCCGATGGAATTCCGCTACGACCCTCCACTGACAGAGATCGGTTACGCGATGGCGCAGTTGATAGGCCGTGGTGCGAAACTGTCCAACGTCAAAGTGGACTATATTTATTCCAGTCCGGCGATGAGCTGCCTTCAGACGGCGCACGGATTTCTGAAATCCTTCCCAAAGTCCAAACTGAAGATCCGGGTAGAGCCAGGACTTTTCGACTTCATGGCATGGTACAGGGCGACCAATATGGGTTGGCTGACCGTCCAGCAGTTGGTAAATAACAGCTACGAGGTGGACGAAAGCTACGTGCCGATCATGACCAGTGACGAGGTTTTCGACAAGGCCAGCAACGAGTCAATAGTCGAGTACTACCAGCGATCCGCCAAGGTATGTTAATAGCGCAATTTGCATGTCCCCTGCTCCTCAGGGAACTGTGACCTCCCTGTTGTTGTTCATGGTGTGCACGAACGCGGTGCCGGGTCGGTCATTTACTACTTACTTGGGGGCACGCAACGTGGCATCATTTTCACTCCTTTGCGAGTTTGTGATTTTCCTTTAAGTTATTTTCGTCCAGGTTCTGAAAATGGCCTCACTCCAACTCAGTTTGTTACTTTTACCTTTCCTCTAGCATCAACAGTTGTCAACTCAATTATTCAAGTCTCTCCTTTGCTCGACGTACTTCCTCGCAGAGTTAGGGGGGATTGGCAACTCGATTCTTGCGCAGCGTTTTGAGCATCATGACTGCTCTCTGACACTATGCATCTTGATCGAATCAGTTAGTGATTGAAGTTCAATTCTTCATAATCACTGCTCGAGAAAGTATGCTTTTCACAACAACTTTGTGCTCATAAATTCAGAACTTACTCATTTTGACCAGGGGTCACTCATCATGGCCTGTCATAACTTACACCAATGTCAAATTAAACCTTTTCTGTCACGTATAACTGCATGATCTGTTTTCGTACCTGATGACATAACTGTCTAAACTAGCAACTGTCTAAAAGACGGACAGAACAACAGCCTGTAAACATTGGAGATGGTTGTTAGCTGAGGTCATTACTTTGAGCCGTTTGATGATCAGAACGTCCTCTTCATTTACAGCTTTTGAACACTTTTGCCGCATGTATCAGAAATAATGCTCTCAAGCAACAGATGTGCATTACCTTCTTCCTTCGTATGGCGTAATGGCTTCCTGATCGAGGTCGGCTACATTTCGTTTCCCACAGAGAAAGCTCCCTTAAGGCTGGAGGGGGACAAGTCATTCCTTATTTACCTATCATTGTACCGTCATTATTCATCGAAGCCAATGCAGTTGCGTACCGCTGAACCGTTGTTCCTGCTCTTTCACTAGAATAACAGTGCCAACAACGCCATGATCCAGCAGTGATCTGAGAAACAAGGTACAGAGGGGCTTTCGTGGACTTCAGGTGCCGTGGCACCATTCGACAGACGAGCATGGTCGAGCGAGCTTAATCGACTTCGCCACTTCCCGACTTTGTACCAAAACTGAAGGGACCACTAAAATAACTTTAGAGTACTTCTTTTACCACGTCGTTTCATCGATTGCTGTCTGCCAGTATCAGAAAGACGAAAGCAAAACGACATCGTTCGTAAACGATTAGTTTTAGTCCACGTTCCGCCACCACCATCAGGCGATCGGATCCATGCAGGCGCCATGCCAGACAGGAGTCCTAAGTAACGAGCTGCGGGCCGCGTTACTGGCTGATCAGGAAGTGGTCCAGTGGGGTGTCGGTCTCCCTTGTACTTCTGTGATGGGCGCAGATGTAGCATTGGTTTCTAGGCCCTTGATGCTCATGCGTGAATTTCATTTCTCTGCCACTGCGCATGCGTGCTTCATTTTTAAGTACCAATGGCATACGATGTGGCAAATACGGCGCATAGACTCATGTTTTCTTTTCCCACGCAGAAGTACTCTATAATTTACCTCTGAGGGATAAAAGACAAATGATCCGGTAGGTAATCGAACCCGGAACCTCTCGATTATGAGTCTGACACTCTATTAATTGGGCAATCCCAGTCGATGACACTAAAACAGTAGAGACCTCGGTTTTTCCGTAGAAACAACGCACTATGCTTCTCTGGGGACAGATCGCAAACAACTGCTGCGTCAATTAAAAGACACAAGTGGTAGGAGCAACTTTATTCTTAATTTTCTTTGAATTTGTTCAGTACCCACGTACAGAGACACGGGTTGGGTCGTATGCGTTCATTCTATTAGAAGGTCGAATGTAGGACTTGAGTTTTCTCAGACAGGTCGAGTCCAAGCTCCCGCATTCAAAAATTGAAAAGATATCTTGGTATCATAACAGATACCGCCCTGGAACGATTTTGAACCAATAATTAATAATTTGCAGAATATATTTAGGAACTATGCATATCTTATAGGTAATTAATAAAATTATCAAACAACACTCGGAGAAACCAGTGGCCATCGCGTTATTCGCCCATGCCACGTCGCTGGACGCAATATCGCACGAACTTATGCAGAGGAGACTGCTGCCAACTATGGATCAGATGATCAAGACACCCGAGTACTATCCGTACAATGCGGCGATGGCTTTGGAACAGCGGGCAGATGGCGCGAAGTGGCAGCTGATGCCGTCCGCCTTGCCACCGATCAGCTACGACGATTTTACGAACAGGTTCAATTTCCGGTTCGCCACCCGCGGCTTACTGGGCGACGAAGGTTCCTCTACCGATCAAAGCACAGGGTGAAAACCTCGCCACGATTCGACTATATTTGAGGCTGTGGGACGCGCCTCTCTACTAATGCAATTTCCCACTATGGTGGACTATTTTTAGTGCATGTTGAATGATTTGCATATTTTTACATACTATGAGGTGTAAATAAAACTGCATATACTTAAACTGACTTCACTGTCTGGGATTGTCATTACCGCTATCCTATGCGTTAATTTTAAGCTTCAAATTAATTTATTTAAAATAATTTTTTTAGTTTTTAAACATTACCAGTACACGTTCAAACAATGTGACGTCAAATTTCAGAAAAGATGTTGACAGCAAATAAGCGTGGTTACTGAGAAATACTTACTGTCTACTACAGTTATAGGTAAAACTACTAAATAAATATTTTTGTCATTCATGTCTCGTCGTAGAGATCTTCTTAAAGTCTAGCTTATGACTTATCATTCTCTACAGCACACGTACTTAGTATTGGATAAAGTCGAGCGTGGACGGAAAATACATACACTAGCTGATACAGGCAACGAAACGATAAGATGGCAAAAGATTTGGTCGCAGCAATTGGCATGACAGCATTTCGGCCCTGGGGGGGGGGCAACAAAATCATTGCGAGCCACCATCAATGCATTTTCAATTAAGTGACTCAAAAAATAAATAAATGAATGAACTCGGACTAACGAACAAATGAACTAACAAGAAGAACGAGGGATAAATTAACCACCTGGGGCAGACGAAGGAACGGACGAAATGAAAGGAATGAGGGAATGGACAAACCAACCAAGTAGGAGAAAATGCGTAAGAACGATTTAATGAATGAGTAGTTAGGGGATTCTTAGAAAATGGGCTACATTTCAGACATATTTATG